GGAAAAGCCATATAGATATAATGAAAGGAGACAGCAACAGCAATAAAATATTTAAACTAAAAAAGACTGAGTGGAGATCATACGAAATATATGGAAATGATACTTTTTTGCCAATGTATATGTATATTTCCATTGTCCCATACAGTTTTAAAACTGCACAAATAGAGCACATACAGAATTTGTCCTCTTATCTCAACACATTGTAGCTCCCAGTGTTTATGTTAAAGGGCTTAAATAAATGGGGTTTTCAGAGCCATTGGTGTTGCTTGAGAATGTTACCTGAGATTTTGCAAAAGCAACAAAACTATGCCAACAAAGCAACCAACCCTAACAAAGAAGGCCCAAGCAAGATTCTGGAGTGTGGGCCACCACGGAAAACTACTATAGGTGAGGTGAGACAGATGGATAGCAATGACTACTAGATCATTGACTCCTTGTGTTTGTTTGAACAACCACTGATTCAGCAAATGTTCTGGAGTAAAAACTAGGGCAGGAAAGTTACAGCACTTGGCAGTTCATAAGTAAATATATAGCAAGAGTGTTATGACTGGGACAATAATATTGGCCAAGTTATATGAATGTTGGATAAAGCTAAACTATTTGTACCCCAGAAGAGTCTGGAATTATCCCAAGGTCTCCTGAGGAAGATCGGTGGATAGGAGTAAACAACAATAGGCCACCATATACAATATCCCAGAAATGGACATCTCTCATAGTTACAATGATATCGTAACTATGGACAAAGAAGTAATCACAACTGTGAAAAACAAAGAGAAATCAGGATAACAGGTTTATATAAAGTTAGGTTTAAGAAGTTATTATAGTTATATATTTAAACCTCCTTAGATGAAGAAGACATATGAGTAAAAAGGGAATAAGATCTGGTATTTTATTTATAGGACTCTGGATTCAAAAATTTCTATTTTATTCCAGGTTAAATATGCCCATATTATGTGGACCCAGAAAATTCTCACTCAAAATATCTGCTTAAAATATTCATTAAACAATTTTATAAGGGAAAAATTGTTTATCAGTCTCTAGTTCATCATTTCATTGGTTAATATGTACCAGGATATTTGTGACAGAGATGTCATGAATTATTAAGACATATTACATATTTGCATTAAATAGCCCTTCCCTATAAATTCCTAAAATGATGCCTAAAAATAATGACTCTACTAAGAAGAATGTGATTTTTTAAATAATTAAGAACAAAATAATTGAAAATCTAAAGCAAGCATGGAGACCTAAGTATGGTAGTTCATGATGAAATCTGGTATGGGTAAGTGACAGGGGGTGTTTTTGAAAAAAAAAATTAATTTTCCAATTTGAATCCCTATCATAAAACACCTTAATTTTCATTGATTGGATCTTTATAAAGATTGTATCATCTGTACATTGAGACCCTGTTAGGGCAGTAAAGTCACAGATGTTTGATCTTTATAAGGTTTATTTTATTTTCTGAGAGAAATAAAGACAACTGCATGTTTGTTTTCTTCTGCTCATGCACTGTACCAAAATGTGGAGGGATAATTAAACCTTATTAATATATTGAGCCATCAGAATTTCTGAGAAACTGCTAGTTTTATTGTGGCTAAGCTACTCCATAAGAGTAAGCAAAAGTTTAAGAGTAAGCAACAGTTTTAAGAGATGTTTCAGAGAATATAAGTCTTTGCAATTAATATTTAAAATATATAGATGAGTTACTGAAGAAAATTTAGGAGATAAATGGGAGACGTCAATGAAATATTTTTAAAATGAGTACTGTACTTTCTCACAAGACTATATAGGTTTACGAAAAAGCTAATAGACCATTTTAGTTGACCAGAAATCTAGTTTCAGAATTTCTAGGAAAAAAAATCTAACATGTTACTGGCTCTTGCAAAAGTATCTAATTGAGGGTAAAAATATTACCCACAGGCACATTCAATTCAAGGATCTATTTACCAAATGATAAATATGGTAAAGTTTGTATAGCAGAAAATAACATAAACTAAACAAACTTCAGATTCATGTTGGTCCAAAAAGGCTCGAAGTTCTATAAAAGCAGAAGAGAAGCATCTGTTTTTGTATCACAGGAGGTTGAGAGATGAGAGTAGAGTTACAATTACCCTGTAATTGGACTTCAAAGGCCACGAGCCTAGTGTAGAGTGCGGCGTCACTGGCTGAATACAGGCTATCAGCTCTCGCCACAACCCAACTGAAGTGTAAGAAGGAAGATATATCAGAGAGTCCTCGCTTTCTTTGTCAGTCCAGCTTATAATGAAGTCTAGCAGTTTATCCAAAACAGACTTATTTGTCGAACACTAGGTTTTGTGTCCTAAAATAACTTGTTGTTTTTAAAACTATGGGTCATAAATCCTCACGTCACAGTGGGTTGTGAAATATATTTAGTGATTTTACAATGGATGTTTAAAAAGAACACAACAATACTGAATAGAATATTAGACAACATTGCACATACTAATGTAACTTTGGGGAAGATTGAACTCAGGGAGCACTAAACTAATTCCTAGCCTTTTTTATTTTACTGTGAGACAGAATCTTGCTAAGTTGTCAAGGTTGACCTCAGTTTGTGATCCTTCTGTCTCAGCCTCCCAAGTAGCTGAGATTACAAGTGTGTGTGACTATACCCAGCTCTAATGTTACTTTTAAATTGGTCTTTATGTGAGAGTTTGTTTGTGGGAATCTGAGGGTTGTAAAATGTCCCTTTGTCTTTAAATCTCTTTCCAGAAATTCTATCCAAGTGCTTGGAATTCAACTGTAAAATATTTCTCTACATCATGATTTGGGGGATTTCAAAATCACGCAAGATAAAATGCACCTGGGAAGATTAAAATCTTGTTTCATAAGCCAAGACTAATGGTTATGCATGAGCAGAAGCTAGATGAGAACCTGAGTCACTTTTATGATAGGGGAAGTATGCTAAAAGGCCCCAGAGATCATCCTATCCACTTCCTATATTTGATCTCTGTTCCTTGTGTTGGTACAAATCAATGATTCCCACACAGGATACCCTAGTGCACTTGACTACCATAAAAGTCAGTAAGAATTGTACTGGTCAGTACTTTCACAGGAGGTAAGGAGAAGGGTTTTTCTTTGGGTCTTTAATTTTCAGACCAGTTATAAGTTGCATGAGAATTCACAGCCTGTCTAACCAGGAAAGCAGAAAGGATCCTAAGGTTCATCAGTGATACTGAAACATCATTAAACATTAGCATCACCTGGGGAGTTTGGAAATTAGCTAGATCCCTGGGCCATAACTACAGATTGAATTTCAGTTGGTTTGGGTGTGAGGTCCAAGCACTTTCTAGTACACCTTCTCATTGAACTCTGTGCAGTATGTTTGAGAACCACTCAAGTCCTACTTACTGTCACATGATTCTTGAATCTTCTCTTTTATAAAGTTATAATTTTAACGTTTTTATTTAAAAAGTGCAGGAATCTATCCAGAATCAACCACTTAGTCTTTTTAATTTTCATTCTAGTTTTTGTTTCCCTTCCCTTGGTAACTCCAGCCCACATGCGTGGATGATAATTCAAATTCCTCTCATATAAGCCAGCCCTCAGCATCAGCAAACAGGCAAGCAGAACACAACATCTTTAGAACATTGTACAGGTTGAGTATTGTTTACCTACAATGCTTGATATCCAAGTGTTTTAAAAATTACATTTTTTCATATTTTGGAATGTTGGCACAATGTATACCAATTCAGCATCCTTAATCTGAAAAGTTTAAATCCCATATCATTTAAGTTCCCAAATTTCTTGAGTGTCATGCTGTAGTTCAAACAGTTTCAGACTTTGAATTTTGGGTCAAGGGTGCGCAGTCTATAACACTTATTAAATGTTTGTTGACACAATATTATTGTTGTGACTGTTGTTTTTATTATTAACTGTCAGATGGCACAGCAAAGACAACAGTTAATAGCAAAATCACCAAAGCAATTTTGCAGAGACTAATGTGAAAAATACACTATTTCTTAATGTTATACGTTAAATGCTACGTATTCACAATATGGAAAAAGGACAAGATGTTTGCTTTTGTGTTTCACCCACTTACCACTCCCTGTAGTGTCATATAGATAAATACCTGATTCAAGAAAAGTGTCACAGGTGTGTTCAGGTGAGGTTTGTCAAAAACGGCCTCTGTTGGGCCGGGGTTTAGCAGAGTGGTGCAGAGACCTGCCTTGCAAGCTTAAGGTCCCAAGTTAGATCCCCAGTACCAAGAAAAAAGGCCTCTGTCACTCATGTTTGAAACAATAGCATTCTGGATTGAGGAAGAACTTTTCTTTGACATTTAAAAATTCCCCTACAAAGTTAAAAAAAATAAGTATCCAATAATACTTCTCTTTAAAGAAGACTGTATGAGAGTGTGTAACGTTTAGTCCTAACAGAAAAAACAAAGCAGAAAATGTAAATTGGAAAATATAACTTCTGGGAATATATTTGCACTTCTCTTTCTATTATACTGGTTAATTTTAACCTTTCTATTACTCAGCTTATCCCACCCACAAAACCATGGAACTTTAGCCTTCCTTAAAAGATGTCTACAAGGATTAATACAATGTACTTTCAGGCTCAGGATCCTGGCTAGACTTCTGTGAACTTTTCATAAAGAATTATTTATCCTGTGGATAATGTTGCACTGAATTACAATGAGTTAAGGCAGATATGTCTAAACTCTGAAATAATAATAAAAATGACAGTGTATTGGCAGACTTTTGTTGCTATTATTTAAGGAATACTTGCAAAAGAATCTATATCTTCCATTACCTTCCCTATTACTGCCAAATTAGTAATTAATTGATATTCTATGAATTATCTCAGTTTTATATTTAGCTGGTTAATCATTATTGCTAAGATAAATTAGGAAGTTTTCCTGAAATTGTTAACTGTCTTGCTTAACAGCATAAACAGAAACAAAACATCATAATCTAATAAGCCTCAGTGTCAATTACCAGCAGCCATCATGACTGTGCGGAGCTGAAATATCATACCTTCGACCAAGGAAGTGAGGAGGGTGACATTGGCTGCTTTCCGTCTTCCGGCTGGCAAGTTTAAGCCAAGCCTGTCCAGTTTCTCTCTGAGGCAGCGGCCCCCATTCTTTGATTTTGCTCTGTCCAGAAACAAAAACTAGGTTTTGAAAGTTCACATTCTGAAGCAAATTGTGAGAAGACCTCACCACATAGGGAATATCACATGGGAAGGAAGACATAAACATGGAGGGTAGCCAGAGATTTAGCTCAGTGGTTCCACTGGCTGCCTTGCAAGTGCAAGGTCCCGAGTTTGATCCCCGGTACAAAAAAAAAAAGCTATAAACATGGAGGGTGGAAGGCGTGTTATCAGTACAGTTAGAGACACACAGGATCATAAAACAGATTATCTTACCTTCTCAAGATGCCCCCCAGGAGTGAAGCATTGAGGCACTCAGGGGGTGACAGGCGCCTCTTTACCTCAGCAATGGTCACCTTGTATTTGGAAGTAGAACTGAGGAGAGACAAACGACCAGGAACAGAGCAAAACAAGTCGGTGGGGTTGACCACACAAGTGCCACCTGGGGAGGAAAACGAACATGACATGTTAGTGAAAGTGAGAAAAGATAAGTGCAAGAGGGGAAGTTACTATCAAGGATGGCTCGGTATTGGGGAATTCATGACAACATTTATACTTATCACCCCACAGCAGCTCAGAAGGTTACTCTGAAAATGTCCTTCCAAATACGAATGAAGGTTTTGGTTTCCCAGTATCACATAACAAATTGTTGTGAGGGTACAATTGTAATTTCAGAGAAAATTGACACCTTATGGAATATGGGCTGGCTTATCAGTATAAATTCTGACATCATCACATCCAGACTTCAATTAGTTAAAAATCTGAACTCCAATAGCTAAGCCTACAAAATGTAGGTATTATTTATACACGATTGTTTGTGAATGTATATATACACAAATAGATAAAAATTCTTCAGATGAGTTATCTTTTCCCAAATATTTGAGAATTACCATCTCCTTTCCCTCATCTATCCATCACTTAAAGATACCACAGTCACTCTGTCCTCATATACTACTAACAGTCATCTCCCCATTGCCAGAAATTTCCAACCCGTACAGGTGATCACAGGTCAGATTCTTGTACCACATGCCAGTCTCGAGCGTCAGCACATACAGGCAAACAACACAATTTCTAGACCACAACAATAGTAACACTTACTAAATGTTAGTTGCCAATAATATTATTGTGATTACTGTCATCATTAATATTAGAATGCAAAGAGAGGAATTAATAGCAAAATCATCAAAGCAATTTTGCCACACTGGAGTCCCTGGAACAGAAGCTTTCTGTCTCCAAGGTCCAAGTTCCTTCAACGTCACCTTTGTTTAAAAAAATGCAGTAATTTCCTTAATCTCAAGCAGCTATAACAGACTAAAGTGAACTTGAGGATCCAAGGGGCTGAGGAAAGTTTCCTGCTGCCCGACTCCTGACTCACTGCAAAAATCCTGGGTTAATGTCCACCTTCCTAGGATGGTGGCTCTATGATTTCGGCCTGCTGTCTCCTTCTGCATTCACTCAGTCACCTGAGAGAAGAGTTTTTCAAGGTTCAGTGGCCATTTCAAATTCAAAGTTGGTTTTTCTAGGCATGCATTTGCTTTCTTTAGTTATGGGCAACCTTAAGACTCATTTCAGGAAAGTGTTGAGTTCTATAAGGGAAAAGGGAAAAGAAGGTAAGTGAATAAAGAAAAAAGGGCAAGAAAATGTGGTCCAAAATCTTTTTTATTAAAAGTGTGATCCTCACCAGGCAGCACTGGCATCCTTGGAAGAAACTTGTTAGAAATGTGGAATCTCAAACGCAATCCCAGACTTTCTGAGACAAAATATGGATTTTAATAAGAACCTCAGACAGTGCATATGATCATTAAAGTTTGAGAAGCACTGGACTAAGACTTGCTTCCCAAAAGCTCTTATCCTTTTTTACTATGCAGTACAGATGAAGTGTACATCAGTCTCTTGCTTCAGATGCAAGTGTGTTCTTCCCTAGGCCTGGTACCTTAAGTAACTGGGAGGATGTTTAAAAGGGCAAAGGGACAGTTGCCTTGGGAAGAGAGAACATGCTAACCTTGAGGAACTTTTAATACAGTTCCATACCTATAATTTTTGGAATTCCTTATTATTATTATTATTATTTTTTTGGTACTGGGGATTGAACTCGGGACCTTGCACATGCGCAGCAGGTGGCAAAACCACTGAGCTAAATCCCTGGCCCTATGGAATTCCTTCTTTTGGAATTTGTGGTCACCCATGTTTCCCCCACTCAAAGTGCTAAAGACTAAGATGTTTCTCCTAAACATTCTGGAGATGTTAATATCCCCAAATGTCTTCCAAAAAAAGAAGATGGATAGTGAGAATGTCAGGGCAGACCCTTTGGACTAGAAGTCAGGTCCTGTCTACATGGCCAAATTCCCCATATCAGTTCCTGGAATCCTGTCCTTAATTTGAAGACATAAAGAAGTCACAATTGCCAAACTAAAATCTTTTTCTTCAAGTAAGACTTATAGTCAACGCCACAGAAAACTGTATAAACTATCTCCCTGGGGAGCTAGAAACAAATTCATCTGTGCTTCCCCACTTTGCAGTCTCACAATATGCCCCCTTGCTTTGAATACACTTATCTCATTGTTCATCCCACTTTCTGAAGCTCTCCTAGAAATCTTCTTTCCTGGATGTCTTTGGTTGTACCCTTGTGGCTGCTTCCACACTCTGAATTGTTTCACAATATTTACCTTTCATGGTCATTTCGACTTTAAAGAAGAGCCAAAAGTTGCACAGTGCCAGGTCCAGTGAATAAAGTGGAGGAGGACACACTGTAATGTTTTTATGGGCCTGCCTTTTCACCGGATGACACTTGGTAGTAGCATTCACTGTATTTTTTAGCACATCTTGAAAAGATAATCTTGAAAAAGACTCCCAGAACTACTTCAGAAAGTGGCAAGAATGATAGGGTAGGTGTTTTCGAAGGGAGGGGTAATATTTTGAGGGGGATTATTGGCAGTGTGACTTTCGCTATAATACATTTTATAATTTAAACATTCATTAACATCATATATTGTATACATATGGTTTTCCTAGCTAGTAAGAAAAAGGAAGAACAAAATTTTGGGCCTTTCCTATCTTTACAAATCTTCAGTCGGCCAGAAACCCAATATAGAAAGATGCAGATGGTTATGGATTTTGCAAAAGGAGTTAAATCACTTTATCCCCTGTCAGAAAATGGCTTCCCTTTGGCAAAGTGAACCCTGTGTGCCAAAAGCCAGCAGTTCCCAGGGAAACCATTGAATCTCCTTCTAGCCATGTGCTAACTACCAGGCCTTACATCCAGGCTGGGTTTCTGGCTTATCCTCAAATAGGAATGTATTAGGTAAATTACGCACGCTGCATATTAAGAGTATGTCTTATGCACACACAAATTGCCTGAAGGATTTATTTTGTATTCAGTATTAGCCATCAACTCTAGAGTCTTTTATTTTTTTATGTCACAGTATCTTTAAAGGGAATTTCTGTTGCTTTGATACTAGGCAATGCTGCAGCCTTGGGGAACTCTCTCATTCTGGATAAAGATTTGGCAACTTGTAGAGTTTACAGCAACTTGGGGAGCATGATATCTTTCTTCTCAGTGATTTACTTTTTAGGAAGGTAGGAAAAGGTAATCGGTCAATATAACCAGACTTTTGCATTAGGAATGAAGGTGTTGAGGGGGTGGGACTTCTCTAAGAGGACCCAGACTACACATGGCACTGATGTGATTGTGAGGAAGAAAGGCCATGAGAGTGCACCTCACTGAGCTGAGTCAGCCTCGGTCCGGTCCCTAGTGTCACCAGCTGGAGCTCGTCATGGTGCATGTCTCACGGTGGTTGTGCATGTCTATTTTAGATTCAGCACCCCAGTTCAGGATATCTTTCATTCCAGAGCCAGCGTGCTCATGCAGAACTTCATCTGTTTTCCATTCATAATGTATAGACACAATATTTCCATGGAGGTCATTATTTTTAAATTTGAAATTTGGAGAGAAGACTTCTTATTTCCAGTGATGCTGCATACTCTAAAGAGTAGCTATGGTAACAGTGTAAGAAATCAGGGATTACCTACTGAAAATTACTTGTCTGGGACAATGTGACAAGTTAGCAAAGACTTACTGTGTGTAAGACAAAACCAGGCTCATCCCTCTGCGGTCACACTGGGTTAGATCGTGCATAACCCGGAAGTTTGGGGCTATATTCTTTTTGGTGTAACTGGGGACATCCGTCCTTGTGTCTGTAGGAACAGTGTGGGGTCATGGAAAAAGTACTGAGCTTCAAGATCTAGGCCAACTAGTGACTTGGCCACAGGACCTTGGAGAGTCATTCTCTAGGTTTTAATCTCTCTGTCTGAAACGCGAGTATGTTCGTCTCTCCAGGGGGTGAGGAGGTATGAAGGAAATGGATGCACATGCTCAGCAGCCTGAGTAAAGGCCATTCAACAACGGCCATTGTGTTGAGCATCTACCGTCTCAACGTGCGTGCTCTGAAACTAGAGAAGAACCCACCTGGCGTTTTACTGCACCCGAAGGGTGAAGCCTGTGGCCAGCCCGCTTTTGCTCCAAGGAGCTGTGGTTCCCTGGGCGCCTCTAAAGCTGCTTCTGAGCCCCACACGGGGTCTGGGGTAGCGCTTCTCCCCTACCCCCATCTGAGGACGCTCTCTACCGTGGCAAGCGGCTCCCAGCGCTCTCCAGGTGCGATCAATACTTCCTGGCCGGCTTCCGGGAAGGAGCCAGGCCCCTGCGCACTGCGCCTCCAAAGCCGCAGCACCGCCCCGCTCGGCGCCGCGTCGCTGTTGACATAATTAGACCAAATCTTGGGAGCAAAATAAATGTTCTGTTCGCCTTACAGCCAAACAGATGTTTACAATTCAAATGAAAGAAATACAAACGGCAGGGACTTTTTTTTTTTCTCTCCTTCATCTCCAGTGATCGCTCGTTTTTTCTGACACATTGAAAACGTGTAAGCGATTACAAGAGTTTCCTGTCCCTGTTTGTTCTGCAGTTGCAGTTCTGCGAGGTGTGCTGTGAACAGCCGGGTGGGGTAGAAACATTTCCCTGCTTCCCCTCCAGCCTTTCTCCCTCAGCACCCCCCCACCGCATCCCCCACCCCAGGCAGCAGAAACTAACTGAACTCGAACCGAGAAGGGGTGGGGACTTAATGGCCGCCAAGTAGGCCTTTGATGTGCCAGCCGAGACAGTGTGGTTCGCAGGAGGATCACACTATGGCAGGTACAACGGGATTAGGGGTTATGGTGGCCGGATGAGTTCCTCTCGGTGCAGAACGCACGGGGACAGTGGGTGTGTAATGGTGTGTGTGTGTGTGTGTGTGTGTGTGTGTGTGTGTGTGTATGTGCGTGCGCTTGCGTTGGGGAGGGGGTTATCCCCACTCCCAGTACAGTGTGCTGCAGTTTTGATTTTCAAAGTAGTAAAGCAATTAGAGCGAAGGCAATG